GGTTAAGGCCTCTGCCTTCGGCTCAGGTCATGATCCCAGGGTCCTGGAATCGAGCCTCACATCGGGCTCTCTGCTTGGCGGGGAGCCTGCTTCCTCCTCTCTGTCTGTCGAATAAATAAATAAAAATCTTAAAAAAAAAGTCATTAAAAAAAAAGATGTGTAGTGGTTCATATTTGAGCTGAATATTAAAGTTGAGTAGAAGTTTGAAAAGTAGTTTGTTCAGTGAAAAACAGAGGGGTGCTAGTGGATTGGGATAGATTAGACTGGTTACCAGTCTTTTACTAGTGTTCAGAGGGAGTTCTTAAAAGCTTTCCTCCTAGGAGGGGGTCCTTAACATTTTCCAAAAGATTCCCCCATCCTTTCTTGGAGATTCTGCTTCACACAGATGTGGTCTTATTTTCCTGAAATTCCTCTACCTCTGGTTGTGGTAAGATTACTGTAGGGGAGTTTCCTTGATGTTGACTCAGCCTATTCTCAGAAGAGCTGACCTCCTTGTTTAACACATAGTACCTGACCAGTTAGTATTTTTAAAATAAATGAATAACCATCCTCAATCAAAGATGGACTGAGGATTTTGCTCTTTTCCTGTGTGTGGTTTTTTTTTTTTTAAGATTTTATTTATTTGACAGAGATCACAAGTAGGCAGAGAGGCAGGTGGGGTGGGGGTGGGGGAAGCAGGCTCCCTGCTGAGCAGAGAGCCTGATGTGGGTCTCGATCCCAGGACCCTGGGATCATGACGTGAGCCGAAGGCAGAGGCTTTCACCCACTGAGCCACCCAGGCACCCCTCCCATGTGTTTATAGAATCAAAGGATCACAGAATGTTGGTACTAGTTTTCCACTTTCATTTCACAGGTACAAAAACAAATCACAGATAAGACCAAGTGACTAGCTTTAGGTCATTGAACACTTTCAGAGCCCAGACTCAAACCTAGACTTCTTGACTCAGGCCAATGTTTGTTCTAATGCCCTCTACCATAACCCAGTTTTTGACTTTTTAAGTCAATGGCTTTTCCAGTAGTTTTTTTTTTTGGGGGGGGGGGGTGCTTTGGCTCCAACTTTCTCTCTTGTGGAGGAAATTTTACCCCAGGATAGTCGTAAGGAGCACCTGCCCCTTCTCTTTGTGCATGGTCAGGTCTCTTGGAAGACAACCCACTTACTGACTTTCATCATTGGTGATACTTTTTTTTTTTTTTTTTCCAGATTTACTTATTTGAGAAAGTGCCTACTGGGGGGCAAAGGGAGAGGGATTGAGAGTCTTAAGCAGATGCCACACTGAGCTTGGAGGCCAATGCAGGGCCTCACCACCCTGAAACCACAACCTGAGCTGAAACCAAGTCAACCACTCACCCAACTGTACCACCTAGGCACCCCATGGGTGATAGTCTTTTAAGAGAATAATGATATTCTTCATTCAGATTTAAAATAGTTATTTCATTAGGGATTGGCTATTCCTGAGTTCCTCTGAATTCAGAATAGGAAGGAAGTAGGCTGACAATTTATGGGTGCTTTTTTCTCCTCCCTCCGTGCCTCAGATTCCTGCCCTTCCTCAAAAGAAGGCCCCAGGAGACAAACTAGTGTTGCTTGTGTTCCTCACAGCTTATCTCTGGGTAAGTGAAATCTAACTAGAGAGCCCAGGATGGGTTGTTACGGGGGTGCTCATTCCAAAGTGGTGGCAGACCTGTAGTGGGACCCACCAGTGGCCACTACACCTAAACCCTGCAGACTGAAAACGCAGAACCACCGGAAATGGCCCCACCTTATTAAAATCAGAGTGAGTATGGCCCATTGTGGAAGCAGACAATGGAGTAATTGGTTATAGGACAGATCAGAGTATGTACTAATTTTATATCACATGTACTTAAATTGTAGCAAGAATAGCTCCCCCTGTGCAGTTACCTGGTAGCTACTCACTGAACTGCTAAGGGTAATGCCTTAATGGAGTAGCAGTCAGACGTGGGAAACCTGGTAGTAAATTACTAGAAGACTTATAGCAAAGGTGATTTAAATGTTTCCTCAGAGAATATGAATGGGCTCCTGGCTTTGTTTGGAATAAAAGCCTAAGTAATAGCAACTTACCGGAGATCGGAAGGCAACACGGAGCCTGTGGATCTGTTAAATTCAGTAAGAACAGTACTTTATGAACTGGATTCTTAGGCTATGGGAATTCTATGAATAGATTGTGACCATTTATGGCCTGAAGAATTCAGTCTAGTTTAACATGTACGCATAATATATGTACATGTGTGTCTGTGAAGGTGTATATGCACTGGGAGATGCTTAGAAGATTGCCAAAAAACTATTTTCACACGGTGGTAGGATTTTAAGTAATCTCCTTTGTGGACTGTTTTTTAGAATGAGTATGCATTCTTTGTATGGCAAAAAAAAAACCCCAAACAAACCAAAAAACAATTTTGAGACATTAAAAATAAAGGAAATAAAAGCATGGTTAGAGTTTTGGTTTTATGTTTAGCTATTTAAACCACCTGGCATTAGCTTTTGTACATATTGTATCTACACTGGAAGTTTATACAGAAGATAAAGATAGATACGTTCTGGAAAAATACCCAATATATTTAACAATCAGTGCAGTACAGTACTGCCTAATCAGATTGGTCTCTGACTGTAAACAATTTGTGCAGAAATACCAATGTGTACCAACTAAGTCTTAGCCAGGGTAGATCTGTATGTACCAACAAGAAATTATCTTGAAGGCACATTCTTTAGTGGGGGGGAATAAAAGCAAATAGCACAAAAGAACCTATAGAATAATTTTATTTATGTAGAGAGAATCAAATGGTGTGTGTGTAAAAATATGTAGAAAGAAGACTGAAAAGGGGCATCTGGGTGGCTCTGCCTTTGGCTCAGGTCATGATCCCAGGGTCCTGGTATCGAGCCCCACATCGGGCTCTCTGCTCAGCAGTGAGCCTGCTTCCCCCTCTCTGCCTACTTGTGATCTCTGTCAAATAAATAAATAAAATCTTAAAAAGAAAAAAAAGAAAAAAGACTGAATGAATATACTCCAAACTTAATGATAACCTCTGGGAGGGAAACGGCTTTGTTTTGTTAGGGTGGGATGGTGATGAAAAATGACTAAATTTATCCTATATCCTTCTGTAGTATCTAAATATTATAAAGTGAGGTTATATTTATGCATAACTTATATTAAAAAACTAAAAAGGGGCCTCAGAGACTCAGAATGTGTCAGTGTCTCTAGCACCATCCAGGGAAGACGTTGGTGACGTTTGGCACCTGAATATCTGTTCTCAGATTCTGTGTGCCCTTTCTCGGAGCATCAGGGTTTCAAAGTCTGATGCCATTAAGATCATCTAAATATTTCTCTTTCTCGAGTTCTAAGGAGTATCCTGATGACAGTGATTTGGTTCCTAATAGTTTTTTTTTTTTGTAATGGAGAGAGTATGTCAAGGAGCCAAACATTGAGCATATAAATTTTTCATCGTAGATCAGTAAAGTAACTGTTTTCTACATCATTTTGTGAATTTGATTAGTGTGTATCAGATTCTGAAGCAATTCATTAGTATCAAAGGTGAGGGCCAGATTCTGGGAATCTCTTCCCCAAGGACCAACCCAATCCTACTTTTCCTGTAAATAAAACAATGATACCTTACTTTCTTTCAGTAAGCAGGGCTCTAGTTTTCAAGCCTAAAGATCTTCCAGTTGGACATAATGGGAGAGCTACAGATGCTGTATGTTTTGGAGAGAGAGGTCCAAAGAGACACCTATCAAGGCGAGTGAATAGGAAGGACTGGTGTGATGGACCTAGTAAAAGTTACAGCCTGGATAGCCTTTAAAAAAACTTATTTATTTTTAGAGAGAGGAGAGGGGAAAGGGGCAGAGGGAAAGAGAATCTGAAGCAGAATCCCCACTGAGTGTGGAGCCCGATCCCAGGACCCTGAGCCAAAACCAAGAGTCAGACACTTAATTGACTGAGCCTCCCAAGCGCCCCACCTTTGAAATCTTAAAGAGAAACTTTAATTGTCACTAGACAATGATGTAAATCTATACTTTCTCAAAAAGCATGAGCAAGATACTGCTTACAGGCAACCTAAGGAAATGTAATTACTTTTCACCTATTCTTTGAATAGACTGTAGGTAGGTAGGATTTTTCCATTAAAACTAATTTACCCAAGATTAGTGTACTTATCCTTTTTTTTTTTTAAGATTTTATTTATTTATTTGACAGAGATCACAACTAGGCAGAGAGGCAGGCAGAGAGAGAGAGGAGGAAGCAGGATCGCTGCTGAGCAGAGAGCCTGATGCAGGGCTCAATCCCAGGACCCTGGGACCATGACCTGTGCCAAAGGCAGAGGCTTTAACCCACTGAGCCACCCAGGTGCCCCAGTATACTTACCCCTTTCACATTCTACTATTTATCACTCTGGATGATCCTAAATTACCTGGATCCATTTTTAGTACTTAAGTATTCCAGAAGCAATCATAATAGGGAATTTTATAGATTTCCCAACATTTGTCACTACTTAAATCTCTTCTCTCTATTATCTGATTTTTTCTCCAGGTCACTGTGATCTATCTCAATTATTGAGAAGAGGATAAAGTAAAGATTCCACAATGCAGGTCCCCCGTTCTGCACAGAGGACATTTTCCTTCGTGCTATTTTTTTCAAACAAGAAGATGAAGTCTGATGCAAGTGTTAAGTGACTTTTGGAAGACGTGCAGGGTCAGAAAACCTGGCTGTCCAGGGTTTGTGTTTGGAGAAGGAAACATCGTGAAGAAGGAAGAGGGGTATCCTGTAGGAATGCCCGAAGGGACAATACACGCACACATAAAGACCCAGAGCTTTCCCAGGACAGTGTTACTCTAACCATAACCATCTTTGAGAAAGTTCCCTGTAAGTGTCATGAATTTGAGAGACAGTTTCCTCTAAACCTGTACCTACTGGACAGACATTCCTTGTGTCACAAGCAGCATGAGTTCTAGCCAGACTTCACTGCAAATGAACCCTCAGAGACTTAACATGCAGAAGAAACCTTCAAAGTGTAGTGAATGTGGAAAATTCTTTACTCAGAGATCATCTCTTACCCAGCATCAGAGGATTCACACGGGAGAGAAGCCCTATGTGTGTAGTGAATGTGGAACTTGTTTCCGTAAACAGTCAAATCTTACTCAACATTTGAGGATTCACACAGGAGAGAAACCGTATAAATGTAATGAATGTGAGAAAGCCTTTCAAACGAAAGCAATCCTTGTCCAGCATCTGAGAATTCATACTGGAGAGAAACCCTATAAATGCACCGAATGTGGCAAAGCCTTTTGTCAGAGTCCATCCCTTATCAAACACCTGCGAATTCATACTGGAGAGAAACCCTATAAATGCACTGAATGTGGCAAAGCCTTTAGTCAAAGCGTTTGCCTTACCCGTCACCAGAGAAGTCACTCTGGAGATAAACCTTATAAGTGTAACGAATGTGGGAAAGCCTTTAACCAGACTGCATGCCTCATGCAGCATCAGAGAATTCATTCAGGAGAGAAGCCTTACGCATGCGTGGAATGCGGTAAAGCCTTCACTCAGAGCTCCTCCCTTGTTGAACATGAGAGAACTCACACTGGAGAGAAACTTTACAAGTGTAGCGAGTGTGAAAAAACTTTCCGCAAACAGGCACACCTTAGCGAACATTACAGAATTCATACCGGAGAAAAACCTTACGAATGTGCTGAATGTGGGAAATCCTTCAGGCACAGCTCGGCGCTTGTTCGACATCAGAGGCTTCATGCTGGAGAATAAAACCTGGCGTTTAACCAGTGCGGAAAGAGTTCTATGAAAATGCCATCCCTACTCGCCCCCAAATTCTTAGGAGCTTAAGGCTCAGTCTTCAGCCGGGAAGAACGTTCTGTATGTTGAACAAGACGCAAGGTGTCCTGAAAGTTAAGAAAGTAGACTCAGAACTAGACAGTCTTGAGTTTGATGACTTCTTTGCCACTTAATGGGTGTAAGACTGGATCCTTCTGAGCCTGTTTTCCCCATCCTCCTCCTCAGAATAATGAGAATACTTACTAGGGTTGTCTTGAGAATAAAATGAGTTGTATGTAATAAATAACTATCATTCATTGGCTTTGAGCCACAGATGTTCCCAAGGTCTATAAATCTGGCTACTGAAAACAAGCAAAATACAGCATTAGTTTTTGGTTCTCAATGTGTTTTTTAAGAACTTTTTTTTTTAAAGATTTTATTTATTTGACAGAGAGAGACACAGTGAGAGAGGGAACACAAGCAAGGGGAGTGGGAGAAGGAGAAGCAGGCCTCCCGCAGAGCAAGGAGCCCAGTGCAGGGCTCCATCCCAGGACTCTGGGATCATGACCTGAGCTGAAGGCAGACACTTAACGACTGAGCCACCCAGGCGCCCCAGAACTTTTTTTTTTTTTAAGAACTTTCTTGAAATTGGGCTATGATTTCATGCTTACTCTACAGAAAGTTATTTAAACTATGTCGATTTAAATAGAAAATATTTTAAGACAGTTTATCCTCAAGAAAATGAAGATTTAATCAGAGAAAAAAAATTATTGGGATTTGATTGGACACTGTGAGGTGTATTTCTGGGTACCCAGAAGAGCTTGCTAAGATTTGGATACCTCCACTATTGGATCTTAGTTCATGTCAAGCTCTAGACCTCTCTTTCCCATGAACAGGGAAGCCTTGCAGACACTAACTAAATAAAAACTTGCGTTGTAGGACTTTTGTGTGTTTGTGGTGGGGGCAGGGGGAGTTGGTAAGGAGAAGTCATATGCGAATAAAGAGGGGTGGAAATGGAAGAAAACATAAACATGTTGATTACTATGTGGCTGTATTTGTTTCAAATTTGTGAAACTAAATAAAGAAAATGTCACTTAAAATAGAGTTGGGAGGCCAGAAGGGGGAGCTTACACATATCATACCTTGCAGCCCTTTGCAGAACCAACAGAAAGAGCCACACCTTGCATTCCTAACAAGAAGCCTACTTTACTAACCCCAAGCAGGAAGAAGGAAGATTATCTCCTTGCCTGGCAATAGCCTAGCCAATGAGATGGCCACAGCTCAGCCAATGAAAAGCCATTACATTACAAACTCCCAGTGTACTCCAAAGGACATTCTGTTTGTAACAACTGCTCCAATTCCCCCTTCCCTCTATAAAAGAGCAGTTCCCTCCTTTGTTTTTCTGACTTGCCTACAGTTTTGTTGTAGCCTGTATGTCCTGAATTGCAATCATCCACTATTCTCAAATAAGCCCATAATGCTGGTAAAATAATTGGCTTTTATTTTTGAGGCTGACAGATTCTTGGAGCACAACACTAAAGGGGGCCTCTTAAGGGAATAGGAGGGCAGGAGACATTGAATTCTCAGGTGTCAGCAAGCAGTATTAATGACCAGTTTTTGGTTTATTCTCATGTATCAAGTCCTGAGGTTGGCAGTCCGTGGCTGGTGCAGTAGCTCCTTGAAACATGCTATCAGGATCCAAGTGCCTTGAGTCTTTCCACTAAACCAGCCACAGAAAGGATCTGCCTTCCATAGGCCAAAAAATGGCTCCAGTACTCCTAGGTTTCATGTATGTGCTCCTGGATGTAGCAGGATGTAGAGAGAAGGACAAAGGTTCATGCTTGCCAGATCTGCTTTCTTGTATCAAACACCTTGTAGCTTTATAAAGCAGACTTCTACTTGTATCTCTCTTTTCTACAGTGTATTAACTACAGTCTCCATGTTATACATTAGATCCTCTCTTCTGTCAAGATCACTTGTGTTAGAAGCTCACTTGTACAAGATCCACTTTTATTTCTAAAATTGCCAGAGCTGTGATATAGCTACCTTTAGCAGGAGCTGGGGAAGTATTCTTAACTAGACATATTATCATCTTCCTCGAAAGTGGGCTTCTGCTAATGAAGATGCAATAGGTGCTCTGTTCAATGACAAAATCCTCTACAGCAATTAAGTTTCTGAATTTTACCGATCTGGAAAAATGCCCAGAATATAATATAATGTGAGAAGCAGGACAGAAAACATACACAAAATAATCTCAATTTTGTTTAAAAAATATAATTTACATACATACATACCCCACACGTGGGAGTTCCAAAATGTTAGTAATAGTTAATATCTACAGAGTTAGCCTCATGTCAAAGGGGTACTGATAGACAAATTTTTATCATACTCATTTTTTTCTGAATTTTCTATAATGAATTTGTGTCATCTTTAAATAGAAATAAAAAAGTGTCACTTTAGAAAACACCCTATATACTCTTAAGGAAGATTAAGTCCAAAATATCTACACTTACTGAGTTTCATCCTCATTGTCAAAAGAAAGGAGGCAACTGTTTTTGACTTGCTTTTGTGAGTTCTTTTTAACCGAGTCCTGCTTATTTATTTCATCTTCATTTGCCTTCTTCTTTTTCGAGCTTGCTGTTAGACCTGAATATTTTTCATCCGAGGAACGCTTGACTGGTTTTCGATACATGATTCTTCCATCAACTACAGCCGGTTCTTCATCTGCAGCAAAAACAAAGTTAAGGAACTTTCTTCTCTCATTATTTTGTCTTTATTAGAGACTCCAATGGCAAGAAGATCTCAGATGGCATTTAAGGATGTTCTGAGTCAGTTCAGTCCAGTCTTCTCCACTTTCTATTTTCTAGCTACACCCACAAGACATGCAGTCCCTTAATAAAAATTCATTTCCTAAAGAAGTCCATCATATTGCCAGTCCCCAATGAATGACAATCAGGCTGTATTTTTATGTATTATGAAAAGTGATTGTTTGGAACTACAGCATTTTTCCTTAAAGCAATGTAATAAGTATTTAGGAAAAATGAAAACTATACCACGTAGCAGATTTCACCTCAGGCACTTATTAAATACACCTCTGTTGACTAATGTGTAAACCTAACCATCTTTTTTTTTTAAGAAAACAGGATATTTTATTTTAATTTTTTTTTTAAAGATTTTATTTATTTATTTGACAGACAGAGAGAGATCACAAGCAGGCAGAGAGACAGGGGGAAGCTGACTCCCCGCCGAGCAGAGAGCCCGATGCAGGGCTCTATCCCAGGACCCTGAGATCATGACCTGAGCTGAAGGCAGAGGCTTAACCCACTGAGCCACCCAGGTGCCCTGAAAACAGGATATTTTAATTTAAATTTGCACTTAATCCTCCTAACAACCCAGTAAGATAGGTACCATTGTAAGTCCCCATTTTACTGATGAGGTAGCTGAGGTTGGGAGGCGAAATAACTCGTTGAGGATCACACACCTGCTGTGAGTTAAAGCCTAAGTTTGAACCTAGGACTCTCTCCTTCGAACATACCATACTATTACATACGACAAGTTCATATTCCAGGCTCTCTACAATGTTAGAAAAACCAGATTACTTTTGGACATACCTGCTTTGGCAGCCTTTATTTCTGCTTTAATCTTCATGACTTCTTCAACTGACAGGTCTCCCTTTTTTAAAACCACCACCTGGGGCTGTTCATCTTCTTTGTCACTGTGATCACCATCTTCCTCTGGGAGCTGAGGCTGGATTCTCTAGGAGAAAACACAAACACAATATGGAGGCTGCTGACCTTGAACCGAATACAACTGTTATCTCCGTGAGACACTGTGATGACTAAGTGACAAGGGTAACTTGAATCAATAAATATATTTGGCAAAGAATGTTCAAGTAACTCTTAAGGGCCTCACCTTGCCACACTCGGAAAGAGGTCTACCAGCCAGTTACCCTGTAGTGCCTGCCCAAAGGGATTAATTTCCTTCTCAGCAGGACCCTAGCACACAGTTCCCAGTGGCAGGGGCCCTGGCTTCATGGACTGCCAGCATTCCCAGCCTCCTCAGGGCCTGCTGAACCACAACCGTTCTCTCTGCTCTCATCAACTGTTTTCACTTCCATCTCTTCTCAAAGCCTGACAAAAAAAATAACCTCAAAGTAGAGAAAGCAGCAAGTAAAAGGACATCTTTCCCCCACCTCTGATGATCTCTCTTCCCTTCCAAGGGCTTCAGTTTGGTGGGCATCCTATCAGCTGTTTTCTAAGTGTATAAAAAATGAAAAAGTATAGAAAACATTCTGTATACAAACAGGACATTGTACATAGTACTATGTGACTTGCTTTCTTTTCTTTATGAAATTTCCCAAAATAAAAAAATTCAGAGAATACCAATAGAAACCATGTATTCAGTATATATATGTAACAAGGGGTAACCTTTGGCCAGTTGATTCAGAATTTCGAAAAATGTCAGATACATAAAAGCCCCCTCCAACTTTTTTACTCAAAAATATATTTGTATAATGCCTAGGAATTACCTATTAACATGGAATTACCTATTTTAAAGATTTTTTTAAAAAGATTTTATTTATCTGTCAGAGAGAGCGAGTGAGCGAGTGTACAAGCACGGGGAGCAGCAGGCAGAGGGAGCAGCAAGCTTCCTGTTGAGCAAGGAGTTTGACACAGGGCTTGATCCCAGGTCCTGGGATCATGACCTGAGCCAAAGGCAGATCTTAACCGACTGAGCCACCCAGGCACCGCTAAAAATAGAATCTTTAAAAAAAAATTCTCGGGTTCATTAGCTTGAGAATCACTAATTCTGCTCCTCTCTTTTTGTTTCTATGACTGGCCAGAAAATAAGAGAAACAGTCAAAGAAACAGTGACTGTTCAAAGCCACTCCTGAATTAACGCTCAAGAAGGTGAATAAGGTAATTTAATTCAATTATATAATCATTTCCCGTGAAACTCTTCTTTTTGTTAGCACATCACTAGAACGATGCTTA